AACTGCCACCATTGAAACCATTTCACAAGTTAACTAAGCAGATTGTGAGCTCAAGTGATTTCATGATTCAGTGGCTCATTTGGGACTGGAAACCAGAATCATTTATTTCCTTTGATGATCTGACTCTTAAATAAAATGTTTTCATCCCCGTTGATCAGATAAGCAAGTCTTATTGGTAAGTAGCATCTTAAAACACACTTGGTGATAAAAGCAAAAAGTAAAATGGAATGAAATAAAGTTTGAATTTCTTTTCTTTTTTTCTTTTTTTTTTTGAGACAGGGTGTCACTCTGTTGCCCAGGCTGAAGTGTAGTGGCATCATCATAGCTCACAGCAACCTCAAATTCCTGGACTCAAGGGATCCTCCGGTCTCAGCCTACAACACACCTGTCTGATTTTCGTATTTTTTGTAGAGATGGGTGGGGTCTTGCTCTTGCTCAGGCTGATCTCAAACTCCTGGCCTCAAGCCATCCGCCCACCTCAGCCTCCCAAAGTGCTAGGATTTTTTTTTTGAGACAGAGTCTCACTGTGTTGCCTGGGCTAGAGTGCCATGGCGTCATCTTAGCTCACAGCAACCTCAAACTCCTGGGCTCAAGTGATCCTCCTGCCTCAGCCTCCCGAGTAGCTGGGACTACAGGCATGTGCCACCATGCCCGGCTAGTTTTTTGTATATATTTTTAGCTGTCCAATTAATTTCTTTCTAATTTTAGTAGAGACGGGGGTCTCACTCTTGCTCAGGCTGGTTTCGAACTCCTGAGCTCAAACAATCCGCCCGCCTCGGCCTCCCAGAGAGCTAGGATTACAGGCATGAGCCACCACACCCAGCCAGAATTTCAGCTGTCGACCTTGGATTTGTGAGCGTTACGCTTCCCATCCTGAGAGTCTGATCTAGGCCTGGAGGTTTGGGGCCTCTCTGTAATAGCAGGATTCCCCTCTGCGTGTCACATCTCCCCACTCTGAGAAGGCACAAAGATCAGGGAAGGTTTAATGGTCAGGCAGCATCCCGCGGTGGCCTCGAGATCCTCTTTCCTCTGAAACGGACACACAGAAGGAGTCTGCTTTGGACTGAGCCCTCAGCAGCAGCTGCCTCTGCTTTTAGATGCGCACACTTCACTTCCACATTGCTAGAACTTTCCAAACTTGTTTCCCACTATAATCAGAGCTTGTAGCCAGGGAGAATGAATGACAGCAGCCACGGGGAGCAAAACTGATCTATGCGAGTCACTCCCTCAGCCCCAAACACCCACACTTGCCAAGAGGCAGGCCTATTTTTAATCACATTGCAAAAACTGAGTCATCTTAGGAAACTCCTTGGGAATGGTTATCATCATCCCAGGAGAGCAGAGACAGCAAGAAGAGGATCGGAGTGAAACTGGGATGGTGCCACCATCAAGAGGCAGGAGAAGAGGCGCTCGCAGCTCTGAAATCTGGACCTAGCAAGGGCTGGGGCAGCAATAGGCCTGGAAGAAATGATGATCCTTTAAGATCCTCATCTGCAACTCCGCTCACATACCAAGCCTGCAGCTTTTACACAGATTGCACGCTGCGGAGAAAAATGCAGAGGAGCTTTGTGAAGCTTTTTGTGCACATTTCAGAAGAGTGAGGACATGCCTTCACGGCACGTGTCGGATGTCAATCTTGGAACTGGGTTGTCTTGGGGGCCCTCAGGAGCAGTGGCTCTGTGAACGAGGAAGAGACAGCTGGGGCTGAGAAGGAAGGTCAGGGGAGAGGGAGGAGAACCTGAAGAACGTGGCAACCTGGAATCCAAAAGAAAGATGATCAATTGCAAATGTTGAAGGATCAAAGATCATACAAGATAAGGACTGAAAAGAGGTGCTTGTGTGTATTATTACTGACCTCCCAGGAGCATCGCAGGAGTGTTGGGACAGACTCCAGGGTGCAGGAGTTGAAGGCGTGGAGGGTCAGTGAGCTGAGCGGAAAGAGTGAGCTGGGACGACCCTTTCCAAAGGCTTCAGGAAATGTGAGCAGAGTGGGCGGGGCTCCGAGCTACACGGGCGTGAGCGGTGCGAGACTCCCAGCCGGGTCATCCCATCTGTGTGTGCATCACACAGATTTCCACATTTAATCCTCTCACAACTCCGTGAGACAGTGAAAGCATATCCATTCTGCTAATGAACAGTGAGTTTCAAAGAAGTTAACTTAATGGTAAGCAAGAGTTAGAACCCAAGTCTGTTTCCGGAGTTCTTTCCATGACAGATAAACGCCTAGTACAGTCAAGGGAGGGTTAACTGGTTGTTATTTGAAGAAAAGGGAGGTTTGAGCATGTTGGTAGGCAGAAAGGAATACATCCTCCCTAATCCCTGTTTCAAGCATCCCGCTCTCTGCCGCCTCTGATCTTCCAGCTTGTTCTCTCCAGTACTTGGACTCCGAGTGCCTTTCACCTCACTGGTGCTTGGGTCTGAGAAGCAGAGGTGGGACTGGGTGGGGTGAGAGCGGGGGTCCATGGAAATCAAAATGACCTCAGCCAGCTCTTATTTGACATGCTTTGTCTGCAGGACGGGTAAAGCTCTGCGAAGCGTAATATTTCCTACTGTGCACGTTTGCTCTACATCGTGAGCAGAGAGTCAATTTTTGTTTGTTACAATATCAGTAGCTGGGGCTCTGGGTTAAGCGAGGGCACTCTTATTCCGGCCATTTTCCACAGAGCTGTTCCTACTCACTTCCTCACCATCCATACGGCATCAATATTGTGTGGCTTTGGTCACCTCCCAGTCAAAAGGTCCCCACCGCCAGGAGCATGATGGAGTCACACAGCACCCCAGACACCCTGCTCCCCTCAAGACACTTTTCAACAAAAGAAAAAATAGTCTGCCCGTTCCTCTGCCTGAATGATGATGCATTCTGTGAGTATTGCTACATTTCATCCCTTTTCAAGTGCTTTATTCTGTAACCCCTCATCTCTATTATATTCTGAGAGGTAGGCCGGCCTGGTCTAGTAATCCCCACACCCCAGCTCAGAAAGTCAAATGCAAGGCAGGTAGGAAACATCTCAAAGCCCTTGTAATGATTAACTGCAGCTGGAATTTATTTTCTCCTGGCCCCAGCTGAGTGCTGTTTCCTTCTACCTCTGCCTTCAGCCTCCACACCTGAATGCATATAAAGTTTCCCGGGACTGTGGGGACTTTGGAGAGGTATGGCTTGGGGACGTGGGGGAAGTGCTATATATATGAGGACCAGATTTGGTGGCAAGCAGTTTGCTATGTGCTTTACATAAACCAGTTCATTTAAGCCGCACAGAACCACTCTGAGTTATAGATCAGCATAACCATTAAAAACCATACTTAGTTTCCTTGAAGAAGCATTCTAAAAAAAGAATAAAAAAACCCATACTTAGTAAAGTGAATTCATTTATCCAAGATCAGAAATTAAAGTGAATAAGTAGGAGGGTCAGGCCTGGAACCCGCTTTGCCTGGTCTTGGAGTCTGGCCCTACCCCTGGGATTTGGACAGTCTGGGTTGGATCCTAGCTCGGTGCATTCTGGCTGAGTGGCCTTGACCTCTGCAAAGTAAACATCCCACCTGCCCTTCCCACCCACGAGGCAACTGGGGAGATGTAAATGAGATTGCAGATTTGAAAGGCGCTGGACCACAGAGCGCAGCATACCTGCTCCTTATTATCCATCGCACCTGAGCGCAGGCCCACTTGTTTAAGAAAGAGGATGTGGCCACTTCTCTCTTCAGTGAGCCATCATTTAATCACCTGATGTCCATCTCTGATCATCGACTAAAGCTTTGAGATCCAAACCCTTCAACTCAACCAGAAAACGTGGAGAACATGCTATCTCCTTCTTCTATATCATTCTTTATTCATTCCAAGATTCTTCATTGTTAAATGACTGCTGGGAAATCATGGTATATACTGTTAACAATGCAGGAAACATAAACCTTCTGCTTACTCAGGGTCTGAAGGGCGACCTGGATGGGCATAAGCACCTGGAAGCCACTCCTGCACTCTGGGAGCTCGCAGAGCTGCGCCTTGCCTCGGACTAGCACATACTGGAGTGTACTGCCTGCACTACCTTGTAACACCCCTGGCTTTTCATCCCAACTGTCTCTTTTACTAGCTGTGTGACCTTGGGCAAAATCACTTCACCTTTCTAATTATAGATTTCTTTCTGTGAAAAATGGCAAGGACTGTTGTGAAAATTATACAGCACGTTTCAGGGTGAAGTGGATGCATCTTGGACTTCTCTCAAGATGGTTTGTTGCAGAGGTACAAAAATGTCCTTAGCATAGGCAGTTTTTATGTCTCCAAAATCCTTGGCCCAGATCTAGGCTGTTGCAGTGCATAGCTGTTACCAAAAACTCGGCCCTTGTCCTTGAGGCCACAGCAGAAAAATGAGAACGAGTGTTTGGGGGATGAGGAAAGAGACTTTTTATTACCTTGCCGGCAAAGGAGGAAAAATGGCAGAACTTCTCATCTTAAAAATCCAGATTCCCTGCACATAGGCAGAAATAGAGAACTTTTAACGGGAGGGTCCTCAGTTCTAGGCTATGGTGGTTAATTACTCTAATCACCCCATCTCTGCCAAAGACAAAGCCTGTGAACTCTGCCAGCCGCCCACCTCGGGGGCGGTGCCACCAGGGAGTTATCCCTTTTAACAAAGGACTTAACCTGCCTCAGGGATGCAGGCTGGGCTGCAGGTCCCAATAAGAGTGGGGGAAGTTTTAAAGAGACAGGAAAATCTTTATTTATTTTTTTTTCTTCAGGCCCTTCCCTCTGTTACATAGCCAATGATTTTGTTACGAACCCTGATTTCTTTAGCAAAAACGATCTTGAACTGCTCATGAACAAAGTGACGTTCTCTGACCAACAAGCAGGTGGCTATTCCATTTCCATCCTCAGCACTGACCTCCTGCTGCCCAGGGAGGGGGAGTGGGGAGAAGGGAGGGGTAGGAGAGGCCTGATGTCACTCAGCCCTACATAAGGGCCTCCTTTAGGCTCCTGCAGGCAGTTTGAAGCAGCTGGTGGAATGAGTTAGGTCCTGGTTGTGGGATTTCTTTTTTTTTTTTTCATTTTTTAGACAGACACCGACACAGCTGTTGAGTAAAATGCCGCCTCCACAGAAAATCCCAAGTCTCAGACCTTTCAAGCAGAGGAAGAGCTTAGGTAAAGTTCTCGGGGTAGCTTTCTGGGTGACTTGAGACGGAGGAGAGGATATAGCCTTCTCTTATTGTCTGTTTATTCTTTTGTACTTGAAATATTCACAGCAACCAGACAAGAGGAAGTTGCTGGAATCCGGGCAAAGTTCCCAAACAAGATCCCGGTAAGACTCCACTATACTTCCTTAGGGGGGCCTGCAATCCTGTTCTATGGGGGACAAAAAAAAAAAAAAATCAGCCAATAACCTCCCTGTCTCTATTCCTAAGACAGAGAGAACTCTGAGTCACATTATTAAGGGTCGAAACTCTTGACAGGTGATAGTGGAGCGCTACCCCAGAGAGAAGTTCCTGCCTCTGCTGGACAAAACCAAGTTCCTGGTCCCACAGGAGCTGACCATGACCCAGTTCCTCAGCATCATCCGGTAGGTGACCTGAGCACGTCGGGGAGGAAGGTGTGCTACCTTTTTGGGGGAGTGGGGTTGAGGGCATTCCAGGGGAAGAAAGGAAGGGGACTTTTTTTTGACTCATCTTTTAGATTCTGTAGTGCCCATTGTCAGAATTACTCTAGTTTAAACAGGTCAGGAGAACCCCTCAGACAGCAAATGAAAAGAGAGCAAGAGCTGCCAACATTTCTAAGAATTTCTGAAAGTAGTCTTAGCTATAACACTAGTTGAGAAGATCCTGCCTGAAACCTAGTCTGTCCGTCCCCAGCAGAGACCAGCACCTTTTCTGAGTGTGTGCACACCGGGGGGTGGGACCTCTTCAGAAGAGCAAGTGTTCCCTGCTCAGAACACCGAGAGGAGAGACAAGGAAGCCATCCCCCAAACACATTCCTCCCTTGGGTTAAGGCGGAGGCACTGCCAAGAAAAGGTAGCTATTTTAAAGCTTAAGAGGGTTCAGGGGAGTCACCTGACATATGGATTCAATAAAAAATGATTTAGGAGTAAAGCAACGAGACCCGGTGGGTACATCTTCACAGGGTTGAAAAGTCCTGTTGGAGGCTGTGTAGCTGTTGCAGACTGTTTCTCTGAGAATTCTCTATGAATGAATGTTTATCTTTTTATTTTGTTCTAATGAGTTATTTAAGAGTATTCTGATTTCCTCTCCTCCAAGACTTATTTGCTTAGCATTTTTGTGCTGGCACGTCTCCTAGTTAACAATGGAGTCTCCTAGGTAACTCGGAGGCCTTGTGGTTTCCTAAATCTCTAAGGAAGGAATAGGGAGCAGTTCAGTCTCCTTGAGCACCATGGTCCCGCAGCTTCCTGGGCTACCACCCAGGTCAGCCCCTCACCACCCTCTTCCCCATCCCAGGAGCCGCATGGTGCTGAGGGCCACTGAGGCCTTTTACTTACTGGTGAACAACAAGAGCCTGGTCAGCATGAGTATGACCATGGCGGAGATCTACAGGGACTACAAGGATGAGGACGGCTTTGTGTACATGACCTACGCCTCCCAGGAGATGTTTGGCTGCTTGGGGTCGGCAGCCCCCCGGGATGGGGGCCTCCTCGGGGACAGACCTTGCAATCATCTCTAGTCCTTGTCAGGAAGAACTTGTCCTCTGACGGATGCATCAGACACTGGCAGATTCGGCTGGTTTTCTCCTGTGGACATTGGAGGTGTCCGGGAAGCAGGGATGCCTGGGTGATCAGATCCAACCAGTGACAGCAAAGCTGTGCTTCTTCCTGCTTTGCTTGTTTTGTGCTCCATGCTCTTATGTTTTCTTAAAAAAAATGCTCTTGGAAGTTTTGTAAATAATGACTTTCTTCTGAATAAGAAATAGTTAGGTTGTGTGATGGTTTTGTGTGATGAGCTGGAGATAATACATTAAGTGTCCTTTGTGGTGTGGGTGGGCAGGCCCCTGAGGAGTTGGTGCCACCCCCTGCATGTGGGCAGGAGTCCCATACATGGCTCGGTCACAGAGAACCTCTGGCCTGTAGGCTGATCTCTGTGGAACCATGGTCAGCTCACCTGGGAGTGCCCTTCCCTGTGTCATTAGAGAGACTATCCTAACTGTCCAACACTCACTCTACTTGCTTATTTCCTCTTATTCCCTTTTCGTCTGTTGATGTCACGCATATTTGTGCCAAAGTTGTAACTTCTCAACATAAAGTCATTTAAACCACCGGAGCGTTTACTATGTGCCAAGCTTTGTACTAAGCAACCTGCGTGCATTAGCTCCTCATCACAACTCTCTGTGGTTAACTACCCTGTAACAGAGGTACAGAAAGGCCAAGGACATTTTCCAGATTCGCACAACATGGGCTACCAGGACTGGAGGTCGAGGAGTTTGGATCTAGAAGCCCCGCTCCTAGACCTCTGCCAGGTTCTCTAACTAGGGGACTCTACTCAGTGACTACCTGCTGGGTCCCTGAGCTGCAGTGTTGAGTGGGAGAGATGTAAACTAGGGGTGCAGTGGAGCTCCATGAATGCATTAACAGCGGGTGTTTCAGCAGCAGTACAATAAGAGCAAGAGCTCCAGCCAGCTTGGAGGGTGCTGGTCACAAAAGATTTTTTACAGGGAGTTGAACGTCAGCTGAGTTTTGAAGTATGAATAAGAGTTTGTCCAGGAAGGAGTTTTGTTTATTCATATTCAGCAAACATACATTGGGCACTTACTATCTGCTAAGCACTACTTTAGAATCCTGAAAATACAGCATTGAACAAGATAGGCAAGGTCCCAACCCTCATGGAGCCCACTTTAATGCTAGCAAAAGAAGAAAGACAATATTCAGATACTTACAAGTACAATTAAAAAAGAAGAGGAAAAAAAAAAAATCCAGAGTGGCTGGCAGATAGACTCCATTCTCCGGGGTGGTCAGAGAAGGAGTTATTTTCACTTGGGCCAGAATGATGACAAGAAGTCAGCGGTGGCGGTTGAACGTGCCAAGCAGAGGGAAAGGTGGCTGAGCAGATGCTCCTGCTCCTACGGTGTAAGAGTTTTACAAACAGAATTGCAGGGTGGGTGCAGCAGTGAGGGGGAGGGAGAGGATGGGAAAGAGGCAGCATTCTAGTTGGAGAGAGAGTATTTGTTGAAGAAGGTGAGAGAGAAGGCTCAGAGAAGGTGCGATCTCCCGAAGGCCCCTCAGCAGTGCTGGGCCTGGCAGTTCTCCTGGGCTCGCTCCCCGGGGCCAGCTGTTCCCGGCTCCCTGGGCCCAGCCTGCCCTCTCTCCTGCCTGCGGCTGTCCTTCCCCTTCCAGACTTGCCGACTCCAGTTGCTTTCTCTAACTCTCATCCTTCAAGTCATCATTGCCATATACCAAGCAAAAACCTTGTCTCCCAGACGCGTTCTCCAGATGTGTCCTTGTTGCTTCACCTTGATCAAAGAATATTCTTCTCAAATACATCTGCTTCCTGGGATTGACTTTGAACTTAATGACAGTCTTTGGCCATGGACTCTCTGGTGCTGTTCCTCCTGCTCTCTGCCTTCCCCATTTGCTTGGTCTTTCTTGGCTCACAGTAGCTAAGGCTGTCACCATGCTGCAAGAATGGGGTCCTCCCCTGGGTATGTAGCTGGGTGAGCTCTTATGCTCTGTTTGGTCTCCAAGATCCTTCCTGAAGCAGCTTCCCCTCGTACATTAACCAGAGAGGTTAAGAGTAGCCTCTTCAGCTGCCTTGTTTAGGGTGGGCCTGGTTCCATAACCAGCCAAAACTCAGTGCCTAAAACAACCATTTTTTTATGCTCATGGAGTCTGTGGGTAAGGGGATTTCGGAAAACGTACAGTGGCAACAATTTGTCTCTGCTCTGTGGTGTCTGGGGACTCAGCTGGGGAGACCTGAAAGGCTGGGAGTGACTGGAATGGCTGGGATCATCTGGAGGCTTCTTCATTCCCATGTCCAGCACCTGGGTTGGGATGACTCAAGCCTGGGCCCAGCTGGGAGTGAAGACTGGCGTGACTCCAAATTGCCTCTCAGAATGACGGCTGGGTTCCAGGGGCAGCATCCTTGGAAAGAGCAGCTGGAGAACATGTGACCCAAGAAACCAGGACAGAAGCTGAAGTGTCAATTGGTGATGGATTTCAATTTTTTTTTTTTTTTTGAGTCAAGTTCTCACTCTGTCTCCCAAGGTAGAGTGTAGTGGCATCATCATAGCTCACTGCAGCCTCAAACTCCTGGGCTCAAGTGATCCTCCTGCCTCAGCCTCCTGAGTAGCTGGGACTACAGGTGTGGGTACCACCATGCCCAGCTAATTTTTAAATTTTTTGTAGAGACAGGATCTTGCTCTTGCTCAAGCTGGTCTCAAACTCCTGGCCTAAAGCGTCCTCCTACCTCAGCCTCCTAAAATGCTAGAATTACAGGCGTGAGCCACTGACCTGGCCTTCAGTCATTTTTAGTCTGGATTTTTGCCTTTTTTTTTTTAACATCTATTCAGGTACTTAATTAGTGATTTGTACTTCTGCGAATTATGACCACTTCTCTTTTAGGTTACTAGTAATTTTTTATAGATTATTATTGAGTAGTTAACTCACTGCATGCCATGTGTATTAAAGATAATCACTCGGTTCCTTTTGATCTTGTTTAAGGCAGATTTTCTCATGTATTAATAGATGCTTTGTATTTTTATGTGGTTTCCTTTGTGGTTTCTGAGGTTCATGTTTTTGAATCGAATCTCTCAACTCCAAGGTTATAAAAAGTATATGCTCATCCTGTATATACTTCTCACACCATGCTTTCATTATGTTTGTACTTAAATATTTGAACCAACTGGAATTTATTTTGGTACCAGAATAAAGGATCCAGTTTCCATATTTTTTTCCAAATGCCTAACCAATTGTCACATGTCCGTTTACTGAATAACCTCTCCATGGATGTTTGAATTTTCTGTGATTGTGCGTCTATGTCTTTGCACCATAATAACACCAAGAAAATGCCTTAAGAATGTAGATTGTGACTTTTTAAAAAAATTCTCCAGGCTCCCGGCAATGCTAAGTATATCTTAGGTAGTTAATACTTGGTGATAAATTAGAGAACCTGCAATGAATGTCAGCTTCAGAGGGAGAAAATAGAACTGTTGGATTTTGGTATGAGTGGCTGTTTTCAGTGATTTGGTCAGGCTGGGAAACCATTTTTTTCGGGGGGGGTGCCTGTTGCAATGCATTCGCCGCTCTCTCCCCACCCCCGTAAATTAAATGGGGGCCACATGGAGAAGGCAGCTGCATATGTCACCACTAACATGGGATCTACAGCTGACCCCGGATTCATTTCAGTGCCTTGACCTTAGGTCAGCGAACTGTTGCCCATGGCCCATCTGACCTGGGGCCTATTTTTAAAATATAATTAAAGTATTACTGGAACCTGGCCACTCCCACTGGTTTACTGTTTTCTCTGGCTGCTTTTGTGCTACAATGGCAGCGTCGAGTAGTTGAGACAGAGATTGTATAACCTGCAAAGCCTAAACTATTTACTATCTGACCCTTCACAGAAAAAGTTTGCTGACCCCTGTCCTAGGTTTACAGTAATAATTCTATGGTCAAGATATCTTTGGGGATGAATCACAATAGAAAGGATCTTTTTGTTGTTGTTTTGGTCCTGCACGAGATGAGAAGAAAAGCATAGCCAAGTCTACTGGGCCAGACCGAGCCCTTGCCTGGAGGAGTCTGATATGGACAGAGCTCTTCACAGGTCAAAAGGCCCCTCACCCTTCCTTTGCCTCTGAAATGTGGATGAGAGATTTCTAAGTGTGTATCGTTTTCTTTCATGAACAAGAGGACCTAGTTCACACCTATTTCTCAGCAAACGCCAGGTTGGAGACCTGAGCTTCTTACGGCAGTTAGACACACAAGGTTAGGTCTGGGGCTGGATGGCCCCCTCTGCGCAATTGACATTTGGGCGAATAATTCTCTGTTGTGGGAGGCTACTGTGCGCACGGCTGGATGTTCCTCAGCATCCATCCCTGGGCTCTATTTACTAGTGCTACTGAAGATGTCTCCAGATGTTGCCAAATGTCCAGGGGAGGGCACACTGCCCCCAGCTGAGAACCACAAGTACGGTCTGTAGACCAGCAGGGTCCGCATCACCTGGCAGCGTGTTAAAACATGCAGAATCTCAGGCACCTCCTCAGGACTGCAGAGACAAAATCTGCACTTTGTTGAGCTATGCAGG